TATTTGTCCTTTTGTGACTGAGATATTTCACTCAGCATAATGTCCTCCAAAGTCACCCATTTTGAATAATAAATATTGCATGAGTTCCTTGTTTTTCAATGCAGTATGGTATTCCATTGTGTGAATATACCAGAGCTTCTCTATCCATTTCGGTTGTTGATGGGCACTTGGGTTGTTTCCAACTCTTTGCTATTGTGAACAAAGCAGCAATATACATGGGTGTGCATATATCTGCCTGGGTAGTAGTTATAGTTTCTTAAGGGTATATTCCCAGTAGTGGAATTGCTGGTTCAAATGGTATTTCTATTTGCAACTTTTTGAGAAAGCGCCATATAGCCTTTCATAGTGGTTGCACCATTTTACACTCCCACCAACAGTGAATAAGGGTTCCAGTTTCTCCTCGCCAGCATTTGTTATTTGCTGCTCTGTTAAATTTTGCTATTCTTACTGGGATGCTATGATATCAGTATTTGTCGTTATGGGACTGAGTTAGTTCACTTAGCATAATGCTCTCCAGTCCTTCCCAAGTTAGGAAGTGATTTACAAAATCATTACTGCGTAGTATTCCATCATGTGGATGTACCATAATTTCTCAATCCATTCAGCTGTGGTTCGACATCTGAGTTGTTTCCATGCTCTTGTGATGGTGAATAACACTGCTATGAATATTGGTGTACAAATCTCCATTTGTGCCTCAGTTCTCATTTTCTCAGGGTATATTCCAGGCAGTGGAATAGCTGGGTCATATGGAATGTCTATGTTCAGCTTTCTGACTATATGCCAAACTGCCTTCCAGAGTGGTCGTACCATTTCACAATCCCACCAAGAGTGTATAAGAGGTTTTTCTTTCTCCTCTACCTTTGTAATGACCTTTTGCTCTCTTCGTGGATGATAGTTATCCTTGATGTTATCCCTCAACTCATCTGATTGTCAATCATTGTTGTTCAATCTTACCAACCTATTCTTAAAAGGATTTTTTTAATTCAAGTGATATAAACTCAAGTTCATATTTTGGTTATTTTGGGATTGTTTTCTTTTTCTCACATTGCTGTATACCATCAAGTTGGAACTGACCCATAGCTGATCCTCCAGCAGGTTTTCAGAGGCAGCAAATCAATCATACAGGGGGAGATTGCTCATCTTCTGCAGACCACCTGATGAATTTGATCCACATACCTTTGAGATTGCAGCAGTTACTTGCCACTGATAGGTTTTTTCCCACCTTTAAACAAATATTTCTTCACGTTTCCAGCTTGAAACTTTGGCCTATCTTTGACCTTCTCCTCTCTTTCTCTGCTGTATCATCCAGATGTTTTCAAAGTGCTGTAGTTTCATCTCTGATAGTTATGTTCCTTCAACCTTACCCACCACACTCCAGGTCTTACCTCAACTATCCTTCCTGTTTCATTTCCCCTTTACCCCATCTTATCATCATGACAGCCTGTGTTTGTTGAACACATATGTATCAGGACATTCTTTTTAGTTATATCTATGTACCTATATCTATCTATCTCATAATAGATAGAAAGAATAAAGTTGTCAATGATTTCATCTAACTTGGATCCACAATCAATACTCATTGTAGAAGCAGTCAAGAAACCAAAAGACATGTTGAATTGGAAAACTCTGCTATCAATGACCTCTCCAAAGTGCTGGAGTGCAATGTTGTTGCTGTTGTTGTTGACTGCCATCGAGTTGAGCACGATTCATTGCGACCCGAAGACGAAAGGCCCTTTTAAAGATTAATGTACATCTGATCAAAAGCCATGGTAATTTGAATTGCTGGTGTGCATCTGAAAATTGGGCAGTGAATAAGGATGACAGAAGAATCGATGCCTTTAAACTGTGATATTGGAGAATAGTACTGAATGCTTCATGAATTGTCAAAAAAAAAAAAAAACAAACCAAAAACCAGCTAAATATGTCTTGGAGAAAGTGCAAATAGGGAGCTCCTTAGAGGTAAGGATGATTTAACTTGTTCTTATGTACTTTGGGTGTATTGTTAAGAGGGGCTAGGAGCTAGACCTTTGAATTAAACATCATACTTGAAAAGGTAGAGGGGCAGACAAAGAGAAGAAGCCTCTCAATGAAGTGGACTGACACAGTGACTGTAACAATGGGCTTGGGCATGGATCAGAACAGAAAGATCGCATAGAATAGGGGAAAATTCCAATGTGATGTTTATAGAGAGCTATGAGTTGTAGTCAAATTGATGATACAAAATAATAACAATAGCCTATGTAATCTTGTCAAGCATCCCAGGAGGTAGGTAAGATTATTATCTCCATCTTGTCAGTGAGAAAGTGGATCCATAACACATTAAAGCTCTCTCTGAAGACCTCACAGTTAATTAACAAAACTCAGATCTGCCTTTAGAAAACAGATCCATTCAACAAGTACTGTGTCTCCCACCTAAGCCTCAGGCTATGCATTCCTGGTTTGTCATTTGTCACACTCTTCTCATTCTTCAGCTCAGCATAACCACCCCCTCCCTAGTCCACAGAGCCAGTGCTGACCCACCACATCGAGCTGCTTCCTCTCTGCTTCCTCTCTCATACAAGTATCCACAGCATATCTACATATCTTTTAGGATGCTGTATTTACACTAGTTTTATAGCTGTTTTTATCTAGCTTTTCTCACTCATGAGAGCTTAAATCTCTCAAATTCTTAGAACACATTTCATTTATGCTAACATTAACACTTGGTACCAGCAGCCAGGAAATTAAAAGATGAATTGCACTGGGAAAGTCTGCTGTCAGAGACCTCTCCAAAGTACTAAAGAGCAACGATGTCATTCTGGAGACTAAGATGTGCCTGATCCATGAAATCATCTTTGCAATCACTTGCTATGTGTCAGAAAGTTGGACAATGATGAGGGATGATAGAGACTTGATGCCTTTGAGCTGTGGTGCTGGAGAAAAGTATTGAATATACTATGGACTGCTAGGAGAATAAACAGATTGATCCTAAAGAAGGTGAGAACAGGCTGTTCCTTGGCAGCAAGTATTCTGAAGCTTCGTCTGACATACTTTGGACATGTTGCAAGGAGGGACCAGTCCTTGGAGAGGGATGTCATACTTGGGAGGCTAGAGGGACAGTGCAGGAGGGGAAGACCCTCAATGAGGTGGATTGATTCAGTGTTTAGGGTAATAGGGACAGATGTGTCATGGACAATGAGATTGGCACAGGATAGAGCAGGGTTTAGGGCTGTTGTACATAGGGTCGTTATGAGTCGCAAACGACTCGACGGCACATAACAACAGCATGTTTCTAAACAGCACATCTAAAAATCTCACTACTCAACTCAGCTCAACTCATTACCATTGAGTTAGAACCAACTTATAGCTGCCCTTTGTTGGGTTCAAATAAAGGTTGTAAATGCACAGGAGGAGATTGCTTATCTTTCTCCCATGGAGCCACTGGTGGATTCAAAGACATGAGCAGCATGGCCTTTGGGTTAACAGTATGGACCATGGACTATACCACCAGAGCTCCTTAAAGATGTCTCTAAGGCTTTTAAATGTTTGTTGAATAAATGAATTATTCTTAGGCTTACCATAAAAGTCTGTGGGTTTAACAATCACTTATCGAGCATTTACTGTGTACCAGACACTAGAGGCATTACAGTGGGCAAACACAGTCAAGGCTCCTTAAGAACCAATCTTCAGAGTCCAGAGTGAAGAACATAGATAATTAACAGAATACTCACACACAAAAATAGAATAATCTAGGCTGTAAGTGTGTAGGTAAGGTAAGGTAAAAGAGGGTAGGTGGTGATAGGAGGAATATTATGGAATCAAGATATAAGCATTTCCAAGGAAAAAGCTGGAATAAGAAACCCAAGAAAGAGTAGTAGTTGTTGTTGTTATGTGCCGTTGAGTTGCCTGCCACTCTTAGCAACCCTATGTACAGCAACTCTGAAGCCTGCCCTGTCCTGAGCCAGTCTCACTGACTTTGACACCCCTAAATCTATTACAATGTCAATCCATCTCATCCAGGGTCTTCCTCTCCTGTGCTGTCCCTCCACTCTTCCAAGCATGATGTTCTTCTCCAAAGATCAGTCCCCCCTGGCCGCATGCCCAAAGTATGTGAGACAGAGTTTCAAAATTTTAGTCTCCAAGGAGAAACTTGGACTCATTCTCTCTAGGACAGACCTGTTTGTTCTCCTGGTGGTCCACACTATCAAGTCAACTTCAACTCAGATCTGACCTTTGCCCTATCCTGCAGCATCCTCATGATGTCTGTCACAGTCAAGCCCATTGTGGGCTCTGTGCCAAATCCATCTCATTGCGGGTCTTCCCCTCTTTCCCTGATACTGTGTCAGGAGAGAGGATGGACTGAGTAAGGCCATGTATCTGGAGCCAAGAAAGTTGCAGGATGGGGTCAGAGAAATGGACAGAGACCAAGTGAAGTATAAGTTTATGGGGCACAGCAAGGTCTGACTTTATCTTAAAGGCACAGGAAAATCATGCAAAATATCCAAAATAGGATGTATAATGACACAATGTTGGTGATGAGAGACACTGTGGGTGATGAACTTGGTGGTGACATTTACCCACTGTCCCCTCATTGCTCATTAATTATTTGATTTTCAACATCAAAATAAAAATATTCTTTTATGGTACGGTGTTTAAATATTTTCTACTCTTCAACTCCTGGAAACTTACGAACATTTCTTCCCTCCAGGACCTTTTGCCAGACCTGGTGTCAGAGGACTGCAGGTTGTAAACAGAACAAGGACTTGGATAAAGTTGTGATGCTAATGCCTCAGTAAGAGATATCTGCCTTCTTCTGACAAGGGCCCAGGGGAAGCTCAGGGGAGCTTAGACCTGTTGACCAAACACTAAAGAAAGTCACACTCCTCAGCTTTCTGATCAAGCAGATCTAGAAGATCATAGATGAAGTTCTCAGATGCTGCTGGTGACACTAGTCTAGAAACTCACTTTGAGAACCCCTGTTGTAGAGAATCCCTATCAGTGAGCTTTCTGGGGAATCTTACCTGTGAAAGGATGGATAGTAAAAAATCCCATGTGGTTCCCACTGGTGATGTTGAAGGTCAGCTTCCCATTGGAGCTGGAATCTGGATCCCAGGCATCCAGCTGGAGCACAGAGGTATTCAAGGGTACATCCTCCTGGACAGAAGGGTAGAACACAGGTCTGGACATCCGGGGTGGGTTGTCATTGACATCCGTCACCTCAATGTAGACTTCAGTTACTGATGAGAGGGGCACAGATCCCTTGTCCACTGCCAGTACAGTCAACCAGTAGTAGGATAGAAATTCTCGGTCCAGGGGTGTGATAGTCTGAATCACTCCTAGAGACGACAAATCATTAAGCCCAAGATAAATTAGTGGCTTTAAAAAAAACACCTCCCAAGATGCAGCTTCTTACCAAGGTTACCAGAGCTCCCTAGCATGGCTTTAGAAATCATTTTGTCCAATATTCCACAATGTACACTGTGGCAAGGATATTAACTGGTATTTTTAAAAAGGAAAGCTGTTGTCCATTTACTGTGGGAACTGCTAAATTAAACAAAGAGGGACTTCAAACAATATTATTATTGTAGGACTTCCCAGAACCTATCTCTGCTAAAATGGGTGTATGCCAGATTCTCAAGTTTATTTAACCAGAAGACAGTGAAGACCATTTCATTGGCTAATTTTGTACATTACACCCATCTGAATAGCCACACACACACCCCCCCCAGTTTTACAGATGAGGGAGCTGAAGAAAGCCTTTCCTAGGCTGACTTTCATTTCAACCCACAAGGGGTTTGTAGTGGAAAGAGCTTTGCCTGTAGAGACAGACCTGCATCTGAGCTTTGTTTTAGCCACTTACGTGATCTGAAACATCAATGTATGACATCTGTTTCTGAGATTCCCATTTCCTACTGTAAACTGAGTGATGATAATGATTTTGCCTGTTTATTCTGAGTGAGTTAAACAAGATGCCACTTGTAGCACATCGCACAGAACTTAGAGCTTTGCGGTTCAAATCCACCAGATGCTCCACTGGTGTGCCAGTCAGATACCATTTGATGGGACACAACAAGAAAAGGGGCGGGAGCCCACAAAACACTTAGAGCTTAAGAAGAGTTCAGCCTGTGGTACTTGACCGACATTTTCCTGATTCATTCAACCCAAGTTCCACTAATTTATTTATTTCACATATTGTAAAATGGGATTTCTATGTTGCTGATCAAAATACAACAGAGCCTCCAGGAGAAGGTGGACTAGAAAGAAAGGCCTAGCAATTGACTTCTAGAAATTAGCCAATAAAAATCCTATGGATCAAAATGACCTAACTTACAAACAGTTATGGGGACAGTGTGGAACTGGGCAGCATTTAGTTCTGCTGTGTATGAGACTGACATTTCATGGGGGCTGATCAGTAGTAGCACCTGGCAACGATGTGAGATTGCCTTTCTGGTAAACAAGTCACTGTTGAGTCAATTGTAACACATGATGACCCCAAGGACATGAACTTGAGCCCAAACTTGAAGGTTCTCAATCAAGTGTATTGACATTTGCACTGTCCAGGGTCTCCAGGATCACTTCTCAGCTGTCCTAAAACAACTTTCTTCAGGCTTTATATTCTCATAGCTACAAAGCTAAAGGTTGCAGTTTTGAGGAATGAACTATTGTTCCCCTCTGAACTGTCCTTGTGATTTTAGAGACTTCGCTTTTCTCGTTAGTTCACTCATACTGCGAACATGTATTGCAGGCTTCTTAACTGTCAGCTAGCACAATGCTAGAAATCACAGGTTCAATAGTGAACCAAAGAGGTTTGCACCCCAAGTTCTCTCATGAGTCAAAATCAGCAGGCTGGACTGAGCTCATAGACAAAGCACAGCAGACCTGAAAGTTATCTTCTGGTGGATGGGGACACTGAGACCCACGGAACCAAGACCTTGTCCAAAACCACGTAACAAGCAAGTGAGAAAATTGGGATTAGAATCAAGTCTATCTAATGCTCTTCCCACCCTATCACATTGCCCTTTAGAAATAAATCGCCTACCTGATTGTAAGCTCCTGAAGGCAACAACTGCCTTCACTGACCTTGGAGCTCTCCCAAGGGGCCTTTTTAAAGGCATTACAAGCAGTGAATACTCAGTAAACACTTGCTGAGTTGCACTTATTTTCTCTGAAACTTAAAAGGAATGCTCACCTTTTTGGGTGACAATCTGGAAATACCCATCAACATTGAAAATGGACATTATTCTTTGACCCAGAAACTACCTCTTGAAGAATTTTTCCTATAGGCACTCATCATATGAATAGAATTATAGGGGAAATGTTGTCATAACTATGTGACAGAGTGAAACCCAACCATTAAAAAAAGAATGAAAAAGATTTTATAAACTACTTGATTTAAGATGCCCTTATTTTCATTATATTAAAAAAATATCTGAATTAGTGTCTAATGTACTACGTTTTCTTAATAACAAAATATGTAATGATAACTTCATGAGACTCAAAAAGGGAAAAACATTAAAATGTTATATACCAAACTGTTAATAAGAACTATATCTGAGGAGATAAGGCCAGGAAACATTACTTTTTAAATTATATATATTAGCATCTGTAAAAACAACAATAAATATATTTGAAGCAAAAAAAATATATATCAATATATATAGTAACATGAATTATTTTAATAAGCAAAGTATGTATCATTTGCTTTAGATACAGTGGAAGTTAGACAGTGATTAAGGAAGACAAAAAAAATAAATTAATTAATGCCTTTGTTGGCAAAGAGTATTTATTGCCCGTATCATGATCTGCCAAAAGAAAGAAATCTGTCTTGGCGATGCAGCCAGAGTGCTGCTTAGAAGCAAAGATTGTGAGAGTTTGCACCACACACTTTGGTCATGTTGTCAGGAAAGGCCAGTCCTTGGATGAGGGCATTATGCTTGGAAAAAGCAGATGGTCAGTGAAGAGAAGGAAAACTCTCCAGGAGATAAATTGACACAGTGACTCCAACCATGGGCTTAGGCACAGCCGAGATCGTGAATTAAGGATCAGGCAAGTTTCCATCGATCATACATCAATGGTTGCTATGAGTAGGAGTTTACTCAACATAACTTAATAGCAACGTGTGTGTGTGTGTGTGTGTGTGTGTGTGTGTGTGTGTGTGTAAACATACATATGCTGCTATTGTTGCTATGTACCATCGAGTTGAAACAACTCATCTCTAACCCTCCAGAGAGTTTTTTAGAGGCAATAAATTGCATGGAAGGAGATTGTCCACTTTCTCTTGCAGCAGTGGTAGTTTCGAGCATTGCTTTGGGTTGTTGAGTGGCTAGCCCAACAGCCACCAGAGTTCCCTATATATCCCTAGCGCGTCTCTCTGTGTGTGTGTGTGTGTGTGTGTGTGTGTGTGTATTCCCTATATAACCTAGTGAAATGTGTATATAAAGTCCTAGCCACTCACTGAGCCAGGCCTTGACAACCACTGTGTGGCACCCCTGTTGTCTTGGCTGTAATCATCACAAAAGCAGATCACCAAGTCTTCCCTCCACAGTGCCACTGAGGGGATTCAAACATCCAGCCTTTCAGTTGATAGTCAAGCACAAATCATTTCTATCACCCACTAACCTACATGAAAGAAAGTTCTTATTCTCTTCAACCTGCAGCTTGATTTCTTTCAGGACCTGTCTCACTCAGGGCCTGCCATTCTGATTCTACCCCATGGCTGGTACCTGTGTCTTGGTTAATGCTGAAGGCTGCAAGGCCAGTGCCAGCTCGCAAAGAGTACTGGAGCTCCCCATCCAAACCGTCATCATCATCATGGGCGGCCACTACCATCACCTGCGTTCCTGAGGGGCTGTCCTCCTGCACCTGGCCCTGGTGCACAGAGGACATAAAGCGGGGAGGGTGGAGATTCTCATTCACATCCAGGACTATCACCTCCACGTGGCAGAGGGTCCGGCGGGCCACGGGCTTCCCGTTATCACTGGCCCACAGGCTCAGATTGTATCCAGCTCGCCCCTCAAAGTCCAGCTCTTTCTCCAGACTGAGAGCTCCAGTGGCCACGTCCACTCGGAAAGTGCCATGGACATCATCTAATAGGATATATTGCACTTCTCCAGCAGGACCCAAGTCAGGATCATAGGCATCCAGAAATGTCAGGATCGTCCCCACAGGAAGGTCCTCTGGGACCTTGAGACTGCTGAGTTCTGTGAAGCACTGAGGAGAGTTGTCATTGGTGTCTTCCAATGTCACTATCAGGTCAGTGACAGAGAAAAGCTGATGGTCCTTCCTGGACTGGTCTCTGGCCTCCACCTTGAATATATATTGAGACTCTGATTCCCGGTCCAAGTGTCCTGTGACAACCAGGTCCCCAGTGAGGGGGTGCAGGGAAAACTTCTCTGTGGGACTTAGTAGTGTATATCGGACTCTTCCATTGTCCTCTGAATCGGCATCTTCTGCCTTCAGCTCTGCAATTGTGCTCCCAGCTCGTGTGTCCTCCGAGATGGTTACCTGGTACCCACCCGGAGGGAACGTGGGAGCATTATCATTACAGTCTATCACATTCACTGTCAGGAGCTTCCAGGAGGACTTCTGGGGCACGCCCAGGTCATACACTGTTATGTTGAGGATGTAGAAACTAGTGGTTTCATAGTCCAAGGAGGCAGCCACACTAAGCAGCCCTGTCTCCAGTTCAATGTCAAAGCCACCCTCCTCATTGCCGCCTGCAATCACGTACACCAGTTTGCCATTGAAGTTGGCATCGGGGTCCATGGCTGCCAGGTGGGCTAGAGGCGTATTGACCGGAACGCTCTCAAGGATGTCAATGGACTGGGGGAAGTGATCCTCAAACTTAGGGGTGTGATGATTGATCTGATAGGTACTTAGGAATGCAAACTCCTCAGCAATGGATTCCTGATTTTGAAGTCCAGCTGAGTGAAGAATGATGGTTTTTGTGAATTGTGTCAAGACTCCTGTTTTATCACACATCACAGGGACCTCAAAACGAGAGTCCTTTACCACAGTAATGTTCAAAGTGGCAGGCAATGCATAGTATTTCCCGTCTGAGGCTGTAATTTGCAGGGAATAGTTAGTAGGTCGAACAGCGGTATGATTCACAAAAGCACGGTTGAGGGTTATCTCTCCAGAGAAATGATTTATATCAAAATATCCTAGTTCATTGCCAGACACAATCTCATATTTCAGATTCTGAAGCTCATCTACATCTATGGCCGACATGGTCATTATTGATTTCCCGACCGGCGAGTCTTCCCGGATAGACCCAGTGCAGTTGACTTCCTCAAATGCAGGCTGATTGTCATTTAAGTTCTTAAGACTGAGAGAAATGGGCACTTCCTTTACCCGGCGAAATGGAGATCCCCAATCTGATGCCCATACCCGGAAGGTGTAAATTCTTTTCATGAGCTCATAGTCCATAGGTTTGGATGTGGAGATGATCCCCAGATAAGGGTCAATAGAAAAGGGTACAGCTTGGGGGCCAGCAATGGAATAGGTGACATAGCCATTCTCCCCATGATCCTGGTCTGTGGCAGTAACAGTCAAAATGCTGGTGCCTGGGGGGATGTTCTCATCAAAGGTGGCATCATAGGAAGACCTGTTGAAGATGGGGGCATGGTTGTTACAGTCCTTTATGTCAATGACCACTACGGTGGAGGCCAGACCCAATGAGGTTCTGATGTGTAACTGGTAGTGGGCTTGGTCATTGAAGTCTAAGAACTTTGTAGTTGTGATCAGCCCAGTGTGCGCATTAAGATTAAACCCTGTACTCCCCGTGGATGGCTTTAGAACATACCGCAAGTTGGGGAAGGCTGGAGTTACTTTCACCAACACCACACGGCTGCCAGGCGGAGAAAACTCACTAAGCTGCACTCTATAAACTGCCTTCTCAAATTTGAGGGAGGCCAGTTTAGAAGCGGGTAGGTGAAAGCCCCGGATCTGAGAATAAAATGCAGGCCTGTTCCTACTCCTGGCCTGGAGGCTGAGGTTGAATCCATGGGGGTGCTCCATCCAGTTGATATCTTTGACAGACACCAAACTGAACTTATTACTCTGGGCATAAGATTTGATGGCTTTGAAATGCTTTCCAGGGTCACCACCAACAATGTCCAATGAGTCCATCAGAGCTCCGGAGCTGCTGGCATCCACCGTGACAGTGGCATAGATGGCTCCCTCATTGCCATCTGGTGGAATCACTATTACCGAGGAAATGGCTGGGGGCTTCCGGAGCACAGGCTCCACGTGAATGACAAGCGCAGCCAAGTTGCCAAAGCCGTTGCCCTCGGAGATTTTCCGCATGCGATCTACAGCCAGCACCTGGAGTTCATATTTCCCTCGCCAGGTGATGTTGAGTTTCCCAGCCACGGTCACCACGCCACTGGTGGGATGGATGGCAAACATCTCAGACCTTGTGTTAAAGGCGTAGTAAAACTCGGCGTTCTGGCCCAGGTCAGCATCTGTGGCGGTCACCTTGCAGATAGGGCTCTTGAGGGGCATGTCCTCAGAGATGGTGACTTTGTATGAAGGTGGGGAGAAAAGAGGCTTCAGGTCGTTCTGGTCTAGGATATGCACCACTACACGGGTCAGTGCTTCAAGTTCCAAGGTCTTCTCAGTAGCTTGGATGATGAGGGTGTAGCTATCTCGAACCTCCCTGTTCAGAAGGGCTGTGTTGCTGCTTTTTGTCCTTATTCTCAGGAAGCAGAAGTTGCCCACCACATACTCCTCTGTTTTGAACACATTGGCCACGTCGCCAGAGATGATCCGGTACCTCACCGCCCACTGAGGTTCCTCCAGGTAGATGCCCATCTTCTCAGAGCTCTCCACGTAGGTCTTGGGAGCAGAGTTTTCGTAGATTGTGGCATTGTAAAGGGGGTGAGTGAAGCGCCAAGCCAAAGAGGAGATAATTCCTTCCAGGGGCTTCTCACAGGTCACATCATGGAGCAAGAGAAAGATAAAACCCAGCAAGGAAATCGTCATGATGAAAAAGTTCCTGAAACCCTGGACAAGAAAAAGAAAGAAAGGGTGTGAGTTAGGGGGGTGAAATGTTTCCTGCTATTGTGGTTCCAAATGGGGGGGGCAGGGGGGCAGATATGTCCCCAAGGGGGATTTGATAATGACTGAAGCCATTTTTTATGGTGCCAGACGGGGTCCTACTGAAGTGCTACTACCATTCCACTAGTGGGTAGAGGCCCTCTTGTTACTAAACACGCTACAAAGTTCAGGATAGCCCACAAAGCAAAGAACTATCCCGCCTCAAACATCAATAATGCTAAGGTTGAAAGACTTTGAACTTGAAGAACAAGCAACTAGTTTGAAATGTCCTCTCAAGAACACCCAGTAGATACTACAGTTGTGACTATCTTATATAAGATGGATTGATACAGTAACTGGGGCTACGGGGGGTTGGTGTGTCAGAGTTAGTGGGACTGGCTCAGGACAGGGAAGGGTTCAGAGCTGCTGTACATAGGGTTGTTATACATCACAAGTGACTCAATGGCGCATAACAATAACATACTATGGCAGGTTTGGAAGCAGGAGTGACATCCACTTCCTAAACAACATGCCTCCGGAAACCCCATGAACTTTGGTAAATGTTGATAGTTGTAGAAGGGCTTTAGGCTTTTTGTTCATAGGGTCGCTATGAGTCGTGCTTGACTCGAAGGCAATCAATAGCAACATCCAGAATCTTTAATGACTATCCAGTGATGACCAAATAGTTTCAACCCTTAAGCCAGAACCTCAGGTTTGGTAGTCGGCCCTTCCCTGTGCTTCATGCCCCACACCACCACCCTCCCCTCCCCAAACCAGGCCTGACATCCAGTCACAATGAACTGCAGCTGTGCACAGAGGCAGCATGACCAAGGTCACAGGTCACAGCCCTGGCTCCACCAGGCGTTAGATGAATTTCCAGGCAAGATATTTAACATATGTAAGAACTTGTCTCCTTTTTCTGTATAATAGAGATAAGGCTATTATTAAGGGTAGTTTCCAACTTGTAACGTATTTGGTTTATAACAAACTCCACATAATGGCTGTTTGGATTTGCGTGCACACGTGTGCATTTTATCATTAGCAACATGTACTATATACCGTGTTGCAGTCCATATTCTACTGATCATTCTCAGATGTTCACTTAATGTCCCATATTTATGATTTATAAATGTACTGATAAAAAATAGTAACAGCAATGAAAAAATACTTTGAAATGAGGTACATGACATATGTGAAAACGAACTTAGGACAATTTGTGAGAATGGAACGCTGTCATGACAGTGAGACTCCTTGTCTACTAAGAGCTCTGGTGGCGGGGTCCACAGGGGGTGGGCACTGCTAACCAAGCAAGGCTGCACCTCTCTGGTGGTTCAAATCTGTCCGCGGGTCCATGGAAGAAGCAGGGGCCACTCTCTTCCTGTGCCATTTACAGCCTCAGAATCCCACTCGAGGGTCAGCTGTGAGTCAGTTCTGATTCAACAGCAATGAGATTGAGAGATGAGACGTGTCTACCAGTTGTGAAGACGAAATGAAATTACAAAATCCCTGGACTTGGCATGGTGCCTGACACAGAACAAGTCTTAAACTGATATTGGCCATTATTAACAAGAAGAAACGAAAGGTCAGAAAGGAGTCCTGGAGGTGCAACGGTTAAGACGTTAGGCTGATAACTGAAAGATTGGTGGTTCAAACCCACTCACAGGGAAAAGGGCCAAGTGATCTGCTCCCATAAAGATTACAACCAAGAAAACACTATAGGGCAATTCTCCGTCATGTGGGTTCACCTGAGTCTCAAGCAATTCCGACAGCTAAAAGCAAAGTAAGAACTACAACTGGGGTGCCTTGACTCACGGGCAATGCTGTGCCTCCTCTCAATTACCAATGAGTCTACCCCAACTCACAGTGACCCCCGCACCACACACGTGCCACAGAAGAAGTGTATTCACAGAATGTTCAGTGGGTTTTTGGGAAGCTTGTCTTCCAAGGCACCCCTGAATGGACATAAACCTTCAACCTTTTAGATTGTTTCAGCACATTTGAGGTTTGCAATTACTCAAGAATTCCTGCTGTCCACCCCCCACCCCGCTCCCTTATGCCAGGCTTATCCACTCCTGTCCTATCAAGTCCGTATGTCAGGGACTGATTCTGACTTGTCTTCTAACCTTCAACATAGAAAACTTCTAAACTCCTGGCTGAAATAGACCTTCAGGAAGGTAATGTACGGAGATGGAGAACAAGAAGCATAAGGATCTTGCCCCAGGTCACACAGTGAGTGGCTGGTAAGAAGCAAATTTTGAGAATCTTTGAACAAGCCATGAGTGATTGCTTAATGCTTGTTGGATTTGCTGAGGCCTCATTTTCTCCCCTGATTTTTCCTATCCCTGAGCATGAAATTCATAAAGATGAAGGACAAGGCAAGGGGTGAAGGAGGGGGAGCTTGGGGTTTGGTTGCCCCTGGGCATTCTAGAAGCCAAGTGTGAGGGCTGGACTCACGAGGGACCAGCCATGGGAGGCTCTTGATTCCAAGCAGCCTCCTGGTCTGGAGCCAGATGTGCCACAGCATTCCTGGACGAAACAGGCAGGACTTGATTTTCCAGTTTCCTTGTTCTTCAAAGACAAGGAAGAGTTAAACTTCCAGGGCAAGGGGGAAAGGAGAGGCTTGGAGCCTGGTCCTTCAGCATGAACAGGCCTCAGGTTTCTAAGACCCTGTGGTTGCTTCCTGAGATGGGAGGTGGGAACGGAAAGGCCCACACAAGTCTGAGACAGAGAACTTGAATGTGCCCAGCATCCAGAATCCCTATCTTCACCTCTCACTTGGAAGACTGTTGGCAGCACCTCAAGCCTAGACACCCCAAGAAAAGTAGATGGTACAGTCACATTCTACACTTGAGGCTCTAAAATCAACAACAGAAGAAGATATTGTGCACTCTCCACCTTTTCTGACCCGTACACCCATGCCCTGCTTATCAGCACTCACAGCCCACAGTAGAGCCAGCCTGGGGCAGAAGCCTTTCTCCACACACCCCCGAGTAGGCAGGAACTCCTGAGTCACTCTGCTTCCCATGTCTTGCAGGACGGCATTGCATTTGAAGTCAAAGCCCCCAGGACAGAGTCCTTACCCCATGCCGATCCACTTACTCCCTGCTCAGCGAGCCCAGGCCACATGCAGCCTCCAGCTTGCAGGAAGCTTCCTCATCACTAGGTCAGCACCAGGTGGTGGGCAGGCCCCAACAAGACACACCATGCAGCAGCTGCACAGACACCTTGCAGAGCAGGAGCCGCTAACAAGAGTGGGAGGGAAGGGAGCAAGAGTGAGTCTCTCCAGGAGGGAGATGAGGGGCTGGAGGGATGTGCCACAGGATGGCAGTTTGATACTCGTAACTGCATCCCTGATGTAGGGCCTGTGGATCTAGGGAGTGGCCGGCTCTGGACCTTTGTCCCCTGCTGCCAGCTCTGGGGAAATGAAAAACTTAAGAAGTACTGAGCTCTGTTATACACCCTGAGTCACATACTGGGCCACAACACCCAAAAACTCTATTTTGAAACTTCTGGTGAAAACATGCATTAGTTCATATCATTTCTGTGCTTAAAATTTTCCAGTGGCTTCTTGTAACACGTTGATTAGATTAAAATCTAAACTTCTTACCGTGGCCAGGCCCCACACTGTGTGGGCCCTGCCGGCTCCGGCAGTGACACAGTGAGCTCTACTAGCATTGCCCCTGTTAACCCACGGCGCCACACCAGTCTTCTTCATCCTCTGCACTGACACCAGGGTGGGACCCACCTCAGGGCCTTTGTACTTGGTGTGTCCCTCTACTTAAGATCCTTCACATGACTGGTTTCTTCTTGTTCTTCAGTTCTCAGCTCACATGTCAGCTCCTAATCCCTCGTTTGTCTCTAGGTGGTGCAAATAATTCATAAACTTGGCTGCTAATCATAAACCAAGTTGGTTGTTGTTAGGGGCTGTCGAGTCAAATACAACATACAGTGACCCTATGAACAACAGACGTGAACCCTGTCTTATCTTGTACCAACCTCCAACCAAGTTAGGGGTCTGAGTTTATCCTGTGGTGCCTCTGGAGAAAGATTTAAAGAACTTCTGAAAAATCAGCCGTTGAAAGCCCCGGGGAGCACCCTTCTACTTTAGCAATCATGGGGGTCACCATGAGTCAGAACTAGCTAGAACACCAACTCATTTTGTTAAATTATAACCCCAGTTGCACTGTTAACCCAAAGGCAGTGCCTCTCTGGCAGTTCGAATCCACCTCCAAGTCCAATGGAGAAAGATGAACCATTTCCCACACAGTTGATAGCTTCCAAAAACCCACTAGAGGAACAGCTGTGAGTCTGCTCTGCAATAAAAATTTGAGTTTGAAGTAGCCTCCCTCCCTTTTCCCATCTCCCTGGCACTTGTAACCATCCAGTACACTCTTGATTATTTGTTTCATCTGCTCCCCAGCTAGACACTGCCCCCCATGAAGCCAGCATCTTTGTGAACCTCATTTATGGATGAATTCCCAATGCTTCAATAAATGCTACTCAGAGAAAGGAAAGGATCAGACTGGGGAAAAACAATGACAAAATGAAAGCTGAAAGACTCTTTAGTGACCATGATTTTTCCTGTGAAATTTGGAAATGAAACCCCAAAGAGACCAAGGGACTTGCCCAAAGTCACGGAGCGAGAACTAGAGCCAGGTTCTTTCCTTCCAACCATGTTGCCAGAGAGAGATGCCATAGGTGTTTACCAATCCTGGGTTTTTTGGTTCTCATGTCACACCTCCACCACTTGCTAGCTGTAAAATCTTGGGTAAGTTACTTGATGTCTCTGGTCGTTGTTTCTTCATCCTTAGGACAGCTTCTCAATTGCCTTTTTTTTTATGAAGTTTTATGAAGATGAAAGAAATTTAACTACTCATCAGTAAACTTTACATGCAGCCCCCAATCACCTGTCAGCAGAGGTTAGTATGTTAGAATGATGCTTAAAA